AGATAAAGGCAACACACCAAAGGGAAATACAAGACTTAAGGGATGAAATCACAAAGTCCAGTAGCAAATTAACAGGATTCACCAACAGACTTGAGGAGGCAAAGAATTTCACTGGTGACATAGAGGATAACCAGGCAAACACCCACAAACAGAGAAGCTGAAGAAAACCTGAGAGCCATGTCTGATACTATGAAGAGGAACAATATTAGAATAATTGGACTACTGGAACAAGGCACAACAAAGAATTCAACAATAAAAACAGTGAGAGAATTCTTAGAGGAGAGCTTCCCCAGCTTAATAAATGAAAATCAGCCAACAATTCAGGAGGCTGAAAGAACACCAGCCAGACTGAAACCCAAGAAGAAGTCACCAAGACATATAATAGTTAAATTATCCACCTATTAGGAAAAGGAGAAAATCATAAGAGCAGCTAGGGAAAAACAAGTACTCACTTATAAAAGTACCCAAATAAGAATATGTTCAGACTTATCAGCAGACATGATGAAGAAGAGGAGGTAGTGGAGTAACATATTCAAAAAATTGAAGGAAAATAACGCAAACCCAAGAATACTACATCCAGCCAAATTATCTATTAAGATAGATGGAGAAGTAAGAGTCTTCCCAGAAAACTAAAAAAGCAAAGAATATGTAAAAAGAAACCCAGCCCTACAAAAGATCATTGCCAACCCAGTATGGGCAAACCTGACCAAAGAAAGGAAGGAACAAATTTCAATAGCAAGGATGAGGGATGAAACAGGGGACAGTACAACAGACCCTAATGAAATCAAAAGGATAATTACCCAGTACTTCGAAAACCTGTACTCTAACGAATTCAACAACTTGGAAGACACTGACAAATTCTTGGAAAAACAATCTGTCCCTAGACTATCCCAGATGGACATCAAGAACCTCAGCAGACCCATGGCAATACAAGAAATAGACAAAGATATCAAGGGATTACCAACCAAAAAAAATCCCTCGGGGACAGATGGCTTCATAGGAGAATTGTACCTAGCATCTAAACAAACACTTCCAGAACATAGAAAAAGACAGAAAACTCCCAAACTCTATGAACCTAGTATAACTCTGATACCTAAAGCGGGCAAGGAGTCCCACAAGAATTGAGAAATACAGACCAATATCCCTAATGAATATCAATGCAAAAACCCTTAACAAAATACTAGCCAATAGAATACAAAAACATAAAAATAATCCACCATGACCAAGTGGGATTCATACCACGGATGCAGGGATGGTTCAACATACAAAAGACCATTAGTACTATCCACCACATTGACTTGAAAAATTATAAGAACCACACGATTATATAAATAGATGTGGAAAAAACCTTTGACAACACCCAACACCCATTCCTGGTTAAAACACTCAAGAAGATAGGAATGGAAGGAAGATTCCTCAATA